ACTGAATTTACATTGAAAATACCGCCGTCACAATGGTTTGACGTACGCGGGACGGCCCGCCCAAAGTACCGCCGATCACGCGTATGTGGTGTACGTGCTGGACGAGGACCTGGCTCGTAGGGGACACAAATTCCTTCACGCGCAGGACAGGCAGAAAGAGTCAGCTGATATGGAGGAGCTCTTGAACGACATTCCTGAGTGGGCGCCGTTAGACCCACAGCGGCAGCAGTTGGTGGACGACCTAAAGGCGCGGGTGGAACGATTTTGGAAGGTTGTGAGGGGCGGACAGGGATGGCCCTATGATTTGTACACATATGGCGTGTGTATCAGAGCAGTAGGACAGGCCAATCCTGTGGCTGTAGTACCAGTGGAGACATTGGCTGAATAGCTCTGACTTCCAGCCGTAGTGTCCGGGTATTAGACGCACGAGTGATCAGTTTAACCAAAAATCAAGTCAATTAAAAAGTTTTCAGATTTGTATATGTATTTTGTTATGTTATTAAGCTATGAAATCATACTTTGTTAGATTATTGGTGTAAATATTGAATTTAAGATTAATTGCTATATTCTATAATCCATAAATCTAATACAATATAAACACATATTCACAGAATTTCGAAAATTTAATGTCAGAATATTCTGTGAGTATTACATTGAGTGGCCTATCAGTGAAACACAAACACCATTGCAATCAATATCATTTCACTTGAAAATAATTTTATGGTAAAACCGTGTTAAAAACACGTAAAATTGAATGCTTAACAATTTGGCACTAAACATTACCAAGGTATAGTAGACAACTTAATTTAAACTATATTTACTTTTGTATATGGGAACATCAGCTTATATTTTTGAAATATTTTTTGCAATTTCTATAACTTATAATGATATTAAAGATCCATAAATTTAATCTAGCTCATAAAATTTGTTACAAATAAATCTCGACATGTTTAGTGCAAATATTATTGAAAGTGATATAAAATACAATTCTTATCAAGTGCAATTGACAAATTGTTACGCACTATTAAATATTGTAAATTGCACTTGATAAGAATTGTATTTTATATCACTGTATATTTGCACTAAACATGACCGAGATTTATTTGCACAGATAACATTTGTATTTGATATCTAAATTATTTTATTAATATAATAATTCCTTTAAACGATTTAATAAAAATAATAAATAAATAATAGTTTAATTAATTAGTATAATAATAAAACACACTTAAGTCGTTATATAAAAAGCATTGGTTGCTTGTATACAAAATGTTCATCAATGTAATTTTCAAAATATTTCAATCAATTAAAAACAATTTAATAATTACATTGAATTTGAATGGAAACCGAGGAACTGATTACACGTGAGTCCCCGTGGGATAGGATTAACATCATATCCAAAGTCACTTTCAGGTCAGATATTTACTTGATAAGTTATTTTGCTCAATGTCAATTATATCAATTTGAATGACCTTATAGCTGGGTGTGGGGTATATTCGTAACGGGCAATAAAAAGGACCTGGATTTCGATGATCTATATAAATGCGCCAATAGTGACAAAACGGATGGAGTCCGCGATAAACTGGAAAAGTTTGTTAACTTTTGTTCAAAATTTGAATATACAATAAAAATGAGCAAAATTAATTTAATATTTACTTGCAATTTAGACAATGGATTAGAGAATTAAAAAGCAAAAGTCCGAGCCTTTTGTGGGCATTATTCCGGACTTTTATATACGAATTCACGCCATGGCTTCTCCTATTTATATTTCAAGTGAGTATCCATTTGATGAGCAAATAAATCTGTTATTTAATAAAAAACAATTTAAATTATTTACTCATTAATTGCTATTGCGTTAGGAAGTGGTGGTGCGAGTGGCCCAACCCGTCCTACTGGGATATGTCGTCAGTTATTTCCAGGGCTCCGACCACATTAGCTATGGGACAACGGTGTGGTGTGCGGCCGGTGTCGTGCTGTGTTCGGCCGCCTGTGTCAGCCTTATTCACCTCAACTATGCCTACCTTATGAGGGCCGGTATGCGAATGAGAGTGGCCTGTTGTGCCCTCATGTATAGAAAGGTGAGATAAGCTTAACGATTAAATTTGTAATTATTTTAGTTGTTTAACTAATCAATGAATTCATAGGCAATGCGTTTAAGCCATTCATCGCTGGGACAGACAACCGTCGGACAAATACTGAACATTATGTCCAATGATGTCAACAGATTTGATGAGGTTTTGTGTAATGAATAAAAATAATTTACATTCAAAATATTAATTAATATGTTTATCAAAAAACAGTTTGCGTTCACAGTTCAGGCGATATTTGTGGCACCAATTCAGTCGGTGCTTATCATATACTTTCTATGGGAGCCGCTGGGGTTGGCCAGTCTGTCGGGACTGGCAGTCATCATACTATTCATACCATTCCAGGGAATTATGGGCCGTATGTTTCAGACGGTTAGGCGAAAAACGGCTCATTTGACGGACACTAGGATTAGACTCATGAGTGAAATCATATCCGGTATGCGAGTTATCAAAATGTACGCCTGGGAGCAGCCCTTCCAGAACCTGGTGATCAACGCCCGGCTGTAAGTCTATATACACAAGTATTGTACAATAGTATCAGGGATAAAATCTGTGAATTGTTTTGTATAGCAATGAAATCAAGCGGATTAGACACTCGTCACTATTAAAGGCAATCAATTTGTCGTTTTATTTCGTCGCCTCCCGAGTCATACTGTTTGCCTGTTTTATAACATACGTATATATGGGTAACAAATTGTCGGCCGAAGCCGTGTTCGTCACAATGGCCTTCTTCAACATCTTGAGGACATCGCTCACCAAATACTTCCCGCAGGGAATCGCCGCCACGGCTGAGATGGTGGTCGCCGTCAAACGCATACAGGTTTTTGCAAAGGCTATGGATTTATGGATTGATTTAGTTTTGTATTGTTTGTGTAATTGTCTAGAATTTCCTATTACTCGATGAATTTGAAGGTTTAAGCGATGGTTACGATAAAGATAATGATAATAAAGACACTAAAGTTAATGAGATTATTATGAGTGTTAAGAATCCGTTGCAATCCATGGATGCCAGCGATGAAGGGAAAGGTGTTTTCATCGATAAGATGACTGTCCGTTGGAATTCGGTATGTATTCAGTCATTTCACTCACTATTACTGTATGTGTAGTAAAAGCTGTCATTCCTTAGGAAAGTGTTGAACCGACCCTTAAAGACATCTCTGTTTGTGTCAAACCGGGAGAACTGTTGGCTGTCGTGGGATCAGTGGGCAGTGGAAAGGTATGTAAATTATAGGTGTATTTGAAATTATATAAAATAATTGAATGCTTTTATATAAGAGCTCACTATTGATGTCAATCCTGAATGAGTTGCCGATAGAGTCGGGTTCAGTGGGAGTGAGGGGTCGGGTGTCGTACGCCCCGCAAGAGTCGTGGGCTTTCATAGGGAGTGTCCGACAGAACATTGTCTTCGGCTCTCAATATATGGAAGAGAAGTACAACCGAGTGGTGAAGGCGTGCGACTATTACTGTATGTGTAGTAAAAGCTGTCATTCCTTAGGAAAGTGTTGAGCCAACCCTTAAAGACATCTCTGTTTGTGTCAAACCGGGAGAACTGTTGGCTGTCGTGGGATCAGTGGGCAGTGGAAAGGTATGTAAATTACAGGTGTATTTGAAATTATATAAAATAATTAAATGCTTTTAAATAAGAGCTCACTATTGATGTCAATCCTGAATGAGTTGCCGATAGAGTCGGGTTCAGTGGGAGTGAGGGGTCGGGTGTCGTACGCCCCGCAAGAGTCGTGGGCTTTCATAGGGAGCGTCCGACAGAACATTGTCTTCGGCTCTCAATATATGGAAGAGAAGTACAACCGAGTGGTGAAGGCGTGCGCTTTGGACAGGGATTTCAAACGGTTCGCCTTCGGAGACCACACTCTGGTGGGCGAGCGGGGGGTGTCGTTGAGTGGGGGGCAGAGGGCGCGCATAAGTCTCGCTCGCGCTCTGTACCACTCGGCGGACATCTACCTCTTGGACGACCCCCTGTCCGCAGTGGACACACATGTGGCCAAACATCTCTTCCAAAAGTATAGCAAACCTTTCATTCATTATTAATTTGCTATGAATTGTGTGTTAACTCTTGATTTGTTAGTAAAATAAAATATGTAAATTTATTAGACATAACCCAAAATTTATAACTAGTTAAGTTTTTATAAAGTTAGTAAATTAATTTATTTTGTTACAGCTTTGAAAAGAAATTTAAACTAATACCTTATCATTTATATTATATTATAAATTATAATATAGAAATAAAATTAGACTACTGTACAATTATGTAGCAATGATATTTTAATGGTAACACACATGCCAATTATTTATAATGAAATTTATTTAAAATATAAAAATATTTATTATTTATTAAATTACAGTTTGGAAACAGTTAAATTTAAAATAATTTTCCTTGTTACTATTTATTTATTATCTAATAAATAATATTATATTTGATTACACTTTTCAGGTGTTGCGTGGAATACCTCAAAGATAAGGCCCGCATATTAGTCACCCATCAGATCCAGTTCCTCAGAGACGCCCATAAGATACTGGTGCTCGACGAGGGCAAGCGTGTGGCTCTGGGCACGTACGACGAACTCATGGAGGCCGGGGTTAACCTCACGTCGTATATAAGCGACCAAACAGTCGACCAAAACGTGGCTCAGAGGCCGCGACACAGGAGCCAATCGTTCACACCGTCGATGGCATCGATGGCCAGCACTATCACCGGCTCTGAACACGAAGAAGTAGGCGATGCCGTGGAGGAAGTGGAGCCTACACTCAAAAAGGAGACCAAAATGAGCGGATCTATTGACTCGAGTATTTACTGGGAGTATACGAGAGCCGGCGCCGGACCGGTGCTTATGTTCATCACCTTCTCGTCGATTATCATATCGCAGGCCCTCTACCAGGGAAGCGACTTCTGGCTCACCATATGGTCAGTGCACACTTGTCCTGTAAATTAAAATTAAAATTATGTTATTATTGTATTATCTTTAGGACCAATAAAGAGGACCAGAATATAGAGACTGACACAACGTTTAACGTTATTATCTATTCGTGTCTCATAATCGGTCTGTTCATCACATCCCTGGCCAGGACGACATCATTTTTCGTGATATGTATGAAAGCTTCGATTACTTTACACAACAGAATATTCTACTCGCTATTGAGAGCACCTATACATGTGTTTGAGAGTTCACCCGTTGGTACGATATTATAATATACAGAATATTCTTTACATAAATAATTTTCAATTGACTAAATTTTTTTGGATTAAACTATTAGGCCGTATATTAAACAGGTTTACCAAGGACACCGGTATTGTCGACGAGTTGCTACCCTCCACCGCATTTGATTTTCAAATGGTTTGCATTTTTTAGAATATCTATATATTGAATAAAAATATATTTTTATTTCTTAACTAATAATTTGGTAACTTTTAGACCCTTTCGATAGTAATCGGGAGTCTAATAGTGAACGCAATCGTCAGTTGGTTTCTGGTATTCCCGGCACTACTTCTGCTACTATTGGTGTTTATGTGTCGCTATTTCTACATCAGTTCCGCCCGGGATATCAAGCGCCTGGAGGGGCTCTGTATGTATCATATCATATAATAATAAGTAAAACTTCATTTAAGATGTAATTACTAACCATTGGATATACACTAAGCCCGAAGTCCCGTCTATTCACACGTGAACACAACCCTATCGGGTCTGACGAGTGTCCGGGCGTTTGGCACTCAACCCATATTTGAGCGCCAGTTTGAACGCCATATGAACGACAACAGCGGCACGTATTTCCTGTTCATCTGTACGTCCCGTGCGTTTGGTATACTTATGGACTGGATTTGTGTGCTATATATCAGCGCCGTTACGGCGTTTATTATGGTTTATCCGGACCTTCCCGGCGGTGATGTAGGGCTCGCACTCTCATCGGGTATTAAATGATTTGATATTTAAGAGTATTTTAAATTTTAATAATTGTTTGAATGGTTAGCCCTAACACTGACAGGACTGACACAGTATGGGGTCAAGTGTTCGGCAGATCTCGAGTCCTATATGACTGCCGTCGAGAGAATGCTTGAGTACTCGCGGCTTAAACCCGAGGCAGAGCTCGAGTCGACTCCCGACCGGAAACCCCCTCCCGATTGGCCACAAACGGGGGAAATAGTGTTGAAGGATTTGAGCCTTCAATACAACGAAACGGCGGATAAAGTCCTCAAAGGAGTCACTGTTTGCCTGAAAGGAGGCGAGAAGATAGGAGTCGTCGGCAGAACGGGCGCCGGAAAGTCGTCCGTCATATCAGCCCTCTTCAGACTCACGGAACCCGAGGGACAGGTACTCATCGATGGCGTCGACGTGCGCACCATTGGTCTGCACGACTTGAGGCGTTGCATATCAATCATACCTCAAGAGCCGGTGCTCTTCACGGGTAGTGTCCGCAAGAATTTGGATCCGTTTGGCGAACATCCGGACGACGAGCTCTGGGCGGCGCTGGAAGAGGTGCAGCTCCGGGATGTCGTGTCAGAAATGACGGGACAATTGGACGGACTGGTGGCCGAAGGGGGCAGTAATTTGAGTGTAGGTCAGCGACAGTTGGTATGTCTGGCGCGGGCTATACTGCGAGACAATCGGATCCTAGTCTTGGATGAGGCGACGGCTAATGTCGACCACAGAACCGATGCTCTCATTCAGACCACTATCCGAGAAAAATTCGCTAATTGTACGGTCATTACAATTGCCCACAGACTCAACACTATCATAGACTCCGATAAAGTTATGGTAAGTGTGTTGGGATGGCATGGGTTGGGATGTCGTGTGAAGTAATTTGTGTAACAATTGTCTCATTTTGTGGATCAGGTGTTAGACGCGGGAGAAGTGATTGAATACGAAATGCCATACATTTTGTTGCAATCAAGCGATGGATTGTTTACTAAATTAGTGACACAAACGGGAAAACACATGACTATTAGGTTGAAACAAATGGCGAAACAATACTATTCACACAAAACGGGACACCATTTGCAGGAAAGGCATCCCGAAGAGGATGAGGACAGTGAGGGTACGGCAGATAAAGTATAATAAATGTAGTTATTATGTATTCAATAACTAATATATAGTTACAATATTTAATTTATAAGAAAAACTAAATAAATTTATGTAAATTACAAATAATGTTCAGGCAAACTTTCATACTATAAATAACACTTCAATCATCAACACAATCTGTAATTTGAATATAAAAATTTAATTATGAGATTATTATCAAAAATATTTACATTCATACAAATAAATGTTATAATTTACAAATGTTTAGTATGTATAAAACTTTAATTATAGTAATTTATTGTAATTTTTATTTAAACTAAAAACATCATAATTTGTAAAATAATTATACATGGTATTCGATAATGTTCTAAAAATTCAGTAAATGATCTAGTTCACTAAACTTTCTACTAAATCATTAATTTTCTCAATACTTTTCTCCGATCGTATTCTCAATGAAGCCTTTTTACACTTTTCAGCCATTATTGTATCGTTTAATACACTATTGATTGCATCCAATAACTCCTTATCAGAGCACTCGTGGGGGTTAAGTCTAACCCCAAACCCCATTTCCTGTACTCTCTGTGCGTTATCGAACTGATCGAAAAATAGGGGCAAAACTATCATTGGTTTCCCGAAATACATGGTCTCTGTCACGGAGTTGTTCCCTCCATGGGTTACCATCAGATCGACGATTGGCAACACTTTTATCTGCGGGACAGACCTCTCGCCCCACATATTGTCGGCCAACGAATACTTGTCGTGAAACACGCCCTTCGATACAATGAACCGGTGCTCCGATTTGGACACAATCGAGACCAACCTCTTCATGAGGTCGACATTAGCGCTGCCCATAGAGCCCAACGACAGGTAAACCAATTTTCCCGACTTATTCCTCAACGGCTCCGGTATGTCAAACGTGTCTTCATTACCGGTGCGCTTGAAATAGTCAAACGAGTGGTAAGTGTCGGGCAGTGGCCTAAAGTCGGTGTAGTCGAGCTCTTTGGGGTACATATAGATGTTGGCGAAGGGTGAGGGTGTCCAGTATTGGTAGGGCGTTGGGGGCGGACACCCATTACTGACCAGCCATTCCTTATACTTATTCCAATACTCTTTCTTTTTCTCATTTATCTGTTGTCTGTATTCTTCCCATTCATTTGGATCACTATTTATGGCTAAACCTATTGATAAGAAAATATATAACATTTAAAACCTCTCGTAATTTCTAAATACATAAACGTTTCTTACAATTATGTCATTAATTTATTATAAATAAATTTCAACTACCGTTCCCTACCTAAAGTGGAGGGTGGGAGGCGTTTATCGTCGAGACATAAATCCAATGACAACGGATTGCTACTGAAACTGAATATCCAGGGGATACCGGAACTCACAATTGACGGCAGGTTTATGATATGATCGCTGATTATGACATCGGGGTTGATGTTCGCAACGATTTCTCGCACATATGACTCAAACTCTTTGGCGTAAGCCATCTGTCCGCCCAAAAAACCGCCAATACTTTCCAATATCTTATCCAATGGGCTGTCGTTCCCCATTAAACTCATGTTGTCGTCGGTGTTATGTTGGGCCGAATCCTTGGCCGAGCCATCCGTCTCGAGCGCCGGTGTGTCAGTGCCCACCACTTCCACCGCAAAGCCCAATGATCGCAGCTTTTGTGTCCATTCAGGTCTTACGGCAAACACTACTTTATGGCCCCTATCTCTCAGCACTTCGGCCATACCTACGCTGGCTAGCACTGGACCCACATAATTGATGGGCGCAAACAATACGGTCAATCGTTTGACCATTTTATTGAGTAATAAAATTATAGTTTAATAACAGATTTAATCCAATTTTGATTTTGTATTTCAAATGATAGCTAAATAGAGGTTTATATAGTGTTTGAGAGTCAGGTCTCGTGTCCCACCGACAACTGCCCTAACTATCAGTTTTGGTTCACCCGTTCCCTTATTTTAATGTTATGTTATGTACTGAACTGTTAGAAAAAGTTTATTTATATTATTAGTTATCAGTGGTATAAAAGTTTTTATGATATTCATGTATATAACTTATTTATGTAATTCATAACTTATTTATGTAATTCATAACAAATTGATAATTTTATATCACTAATATAATACATATACAGTTTTTATATGTATGTTGGGAATAAACAATTTTTATCAGTTATAATTAACGTTATTATCTAATACTGTATGTTACCGCATGCACTCAATTGTAAGTTATAATTTATAACATTAAAGAGTAGTTTATATTTAAACATTTTTATTTAAACATAAAAAATAGAAACAAAAATCAAATAATTTTAACTTTTTATTGTCAAAATAAACAAATTATTATCATAATTAATTTTATAATGTATTGAAAATGAGATGTGATATTGATACAGTAATATTTTAATGCAATAAATTGAATATTCGTTATATTGATCCACAAATCACTTAACAATGTATTCAATTAAATGCCATTTATAAAGTTAATTACGGTATAATATACCACTAATACTATCAAATTATTAAAATACTTAACAGAATCTAAACCCTTAATTCTGTGTACCAATGAATAGACAATTAATAGACTACTTCACAACACATTAAAAATAATACACACAAAAACACATATAAAATCTGAAACTTCTTTTTAATATTCTTGATATTTGGCTAAACTTTGCTAATACTGTGCACTACATTACGGCTTAAAATCATCAAAATCAAGCCATGCCCTCCACTGGTAGTACAGCCACTGGTATAGGATACGCTCTATGTATTGCCTCAAACTGTTCAAATAGAGGGGGAACTGTATGCGCAATCCACCGATGTAGTTTGCCCCCAATCCCTGTGCCTGCCTTTGAGTCTCAATTAAGGGATCCAATTGAAACTGAACCAATTGTGTGAATATGTCGTGTAGTAGGCGCACGTACTGGCGCCGACCCTCGACCGTGTTTAGGGCAAACAAGTGCTGCTCTTCGGGCCCGTCAAACAGGTACTCCTGTGGCTCGTACTGCGAGCGCAGGGCTACATCCTGGGGAACGGCCGGCAACTCGTACGGCACGGGCGGTAAGTTCTGCGCCAAACTCTGGGCCACGAATTGTAAGTTCCATCTAATGTTCTCGTAGGTGAACACAGGGCCGGATGGTGGACCGGCAGGTGGTGGACCGTCACCTACAACTCTAGCGCCTCTTGTCCTCTTAGCGCGAGCCATGCGGGCCGGGTATGGCTGGCCGTCCACTAAAGTCGGTGCCTTATAGCCTTGTATATCGGCGGCGAGAAACCTATGCATCAGGTAGGGACGGATGTCGTCGGGCGGGTCGATGGGAACCTCCGCGTAGTATTGGTTCACCTTCTGGTGGGCGACCGGGTACTGGAGCTCCGACACCCGGTTCTCCCGAAGCCTGTGCGGCACCCGTAAGTGGTCGCGCGCGCTATGGATGAGTGCCTCGTCGATAAGCCCGGCAGGTGTGGTGTGATTGCGATAGTAGACCGACTTGACCCGGAACGCCTGGTGCGCGAATCTCAACACACGGGCGTACGTGACCCGGTGCGGGTCGTCCAGTGGAACTGTGAGCAACAGGTCATTCAAACCCCGGACATACCGGTACGCGAATCGGGCCAACGCCTCGCTAAGTTGTGCAGTACGCCAGTGGAGTCGTGTGGTATTGTAGGCGGCTTTCAGTTGGTCGAGCGTCTGTCGCTCGGCGATCACCGGCTGGCTCTTATAGTTCATCCAATTAAGTGCGGAGCACTCGGATATGTTGCGCGCCTGGAGCTGACCCACACTTATACGCCGTAAGGCCACCGCATTGGCTAACTGCGCGGCCCATTGGTCAGGGTTCTGTTGGTAGGCCTCACGGAAGCGTACGTAGTAACTGATGGCGAGCTGGTAGCTGTGCAACCGCGCGGCCACCGGGGTTTCGGGACTCGACGTGCGCTTATAGCCCGACCACAGTAGTACGGAGTGATAAAGGACGGCGGCGGTGATCACGTGCCCAGTTAGCCGGTTTAAGAGCCGGGCCTCGGGTAAGGGTTGCACCGGCGCGTTCACCGCCAGGTGCTGCTCAAAGTATCGGTACAGATGGCGCTGATTGCGGACGAACGTACAGATGCGGTCGCTAACCAGTCGTTGGTGGGCACCCGTGTGCTGCGAGTAGTCCCACCGGTAGTGCTCGTGCGACTCAGCGGTGGGCAAGTGGTGGCGCCTGATGTCCGGCAGCCCGTCCAATATGGCGGCCAACTGACCCTCGGGTTCGTCCGTGTCTAAGGGCGACCTCGGGTCAAGGTCTGCGGGCGGCGGAGGGGCCTCAACGACTTCGGGCAGAGGGATGTCTGGGTGTATTTGTGGGAGCGGTCGCAATGGGATTATAAATAAGGGTGGGTTTGGGTCAGCCATTTGTCTGTGTTTGTATTCTTGAGGTATGTCTTATACGGAAAGTGTTCACTAATTAGCTGTTTGTTGGCAAACGTTTGGCTCGTTTTTGGGATTAGTTTTTGTGTTTTGTGTGACAATTGGTTTGAAATTTTGGTCTGAATTTTGAGATTTTATTTCCCATTGTTTTTGTTGAATACTATTTGCCATAAATACACGATTAAACGACAGGATTACTATAGAAGTACGAGTTTATTAAATGACTTGTATATTTGAAACTTATTGTAAATATAAACAAAATTTATATTAATTTTAAAGTTATAATGTATTGAAAAATGAAATATGACTTAAATAATAATTAAATTTAATAAATGGATCCACACGTTATATTGATCCACAAATCACTTAACAATTTATTAAATTGAAAACCATTCATAAGGCTAATATACCGGTAATATATTGCTAATACTGTTTGAACAAGTTGAACATGCCCTCCACTGGTAGTACAGCCACTGGTACAGGAGTTTGTCGAAGTGCTGATGCAGAGCCCCGACCAACCCTTCTCATTTATCTCCCATAGAAACTCATGGGTGAGTCCGTAGAGCTGCAAATCTGTCTCATAGTACGGGTCGTCCATGAAGT